AGAGAGAGAGAAGGGGGGGGAGAGAGAGGGGTCAATCATTTCTAATACAATTCACCACGGGAATTCGACGATAAGCCCAGGATAATTCGATTGTTCGCTGCACTTTTTGCAGAAACCAACCGCGTTCCGTTCTCACATCTGTCCTTTCTCGACATTGCGGCAAGAGAAGCGACGTATACATTGCGCAAAGATACACCGTCGTTTTTGCAACGTCGGCGTCGGCGCCGGCGGCATATCCCGTTCCGACTTAGTTAACGGTCCCCCCACAAATCCTGAGGATCCTCTCCTGAATCGCATGTATGTACATAAATCAGTGCGGTGGTTTATTTAAAACGCAACGCAATTATTATTCGGTCGCCTCTCGAGTCCGTTTCTCGAGCCCGCGAGCCGCGGAGAGCCTTCGTTATACCATCCGCGGCGATCGAGAGATCGCCAGGGGAAAAGATGTTCTATGTTTCTCATTGCCCGAGAATCGACCAATTGCTTCCACAAAGTGGTCAATTACTCGTCTAAACAATCATTAAAGCTCGTTCATTTCGGCGTTAATGACGGCAGAAAAACTCAAAGCGGTGAAATTTCTCTTCTTCGTTTGCACATCTCGCCCCTGGCTCCCTGCCTGCCTAATCCTCCAGTCTTTCGCAACGCTAACTATTATTAGCTGTGCGTTGTTAACGTTAATTAATTATTAAAATATGTAACAATTGGCCACGGAGATGATTTGTATCAGCACGTCAATATAACATCTCACTTTTAACATCTCACAGGCGAACGACAAATAAAACGATATGTCTCCTGTCATCATTATTTTTTGCAGCATCAGCCACTTTCTAAAGTGTGCATATACATCGCGCGCGGTCTGTGATTTCTATTAAAAAGGGTAACGTAACGTAAAAAGCAGGCCCGAATTATTTTTAATCTCGACAAGATAGATTTAAAATGTATATATTGTCCCAAGGAAAATATTGTTTAAATACCTTCATTTACAAAAAAAACACATATCTACACATTAATTCTCACATTAACATTGGAAGTATTGAACGGTCGGTTTCTGATCATTTTAAATTTATATCTTTTTTCGTAAAGAAACGATTTTAGAATTTTTTAATTTTTTATTATTTTTTTTTATTCTGATGTATATCAAAGTTGGAAAATGAAAAAAATGTTATCCTTGATAATAGAAAAAAATGTTATTTTAAAAAGATAAAAAATATTTCTCTCTTTTCTAGCATTAAATTACTTAAATTACTTATTCTATTCATTAAATATTTATGTATTAAATTTGTATTACATTAGTCAAACGACCGTGAAAGATGACAGTCGCTTTGTATACAATTATCGCGTCCTAAGGACTAGAACGAGGAACAATATATGAGAACGTGATCCATGAAGGCAGACTACTATCTATGGATCGGCAATCATGATTCAGCTTCAACATTTGCGATTTACCTATACGACAAACTTTCACTATTCTCATCTCATTATGCCAACAGCGAGTCATCCAAACAAATTCTCATCTCTCAGATATGCTCGATCGCTCTTGAAACTCGAAAATCGTAAACGCGTGCTTCAGAGCACGAGCGTGCACGAGTCTTCCTCGAGAAGTTTTGCAAAACGTTTAGTTAGCTTTCAGAATGGCAATTTTATTGGCTGCGAATTGTAAATTTTTATGTACATCTCAAGAGAGAGATAATGTTGGCTTTTAATGAGAAATGTATTGTTTAATATACATGAATAAGTTTTACGAGATGCAGGTAACAGTAAAAAGTGACATCACCCTCTTATGAATACGGATGAGATTAAGTACGTTCTCTCTCTTTAAGTAGTACTGATAATATCTACGGCACGTTCGAATTTTTTACTAACACGTAAACACAACTGCATTTGAATGTAATCGAAACCTGCTGCGCCGCAATCGAGTTTAGTCTGAAAGTATAGCGAAATATAACGATCTACTACAATGAACGAAACTTCTTTTCCTTTTATAAATAAAATAATAACATTTATTTATTATATTATAATTAATATTTTTCTATTTCTGTGAAAAAGATTATATGATATTTAAAGGCAAAGATGTCCCACTTTGCATTGCACTTACGAAAGAAAATAAAAAACTTACTATTATGTCAATTATATATATAACGAAAACTTTAACAAAAGTACGGAATAGTTTAATAACGTAGCTTAATAATGTCTAATTTTTTTATTTTCCTCTATGTAAATGATGATATACTATTTTTATTTATATAAGAGATTGGAATATATTTCATCCCGACTGTTCTCGGACATTTGCATATTCGGCCTCACGTCAAGCTTGCGCGAATCTTTCGCAATTAACGCGCCTTCGATTTCGATAAAACAATATCTGGACGTCGGACCGACCGAGACTCACGGAGTACATATCGTGCTCGGTCCCATTTCTTTATTTACGAGGATACGCTCTAATCGCATTTTAATTAACGGCGACACACGAGAGGCGACACGTAGCCTCTCTGCCGTGGACTGTAATTACGGGAACACTCTCGTTAATTCTGGGTGACATCGCGTGCGTACGTTACATGAATCATTACGCGGCGTACGTCATTAGACATGCCTGCGGCGCGTGTTGTTCGCGCGGTGCGAAAGTGCGTGAGGAACGCAGCTGGGTATTCGTTCTGCGAACGAGCCGAACACCAGCGTCGGGGCGCCGATGCGAGGAAGGAAGAGAGGACTTTCGCTCGTTTCGCGAGGCAGGTCGGACACGCGCGGATCCAGACTCGCGCTGCCGGCTTCCTCCGGAGGTGTCCGTCACTCCTGTCGTACACAAGTCTCGTCGAGTCACACTTTCAGCGTGGCGAGGAGAAAAAAAAAGAGGAGAAAAACGAGACGAGAGAAAGAGAAAGACAGACGAGACCGTCGGATTCTCGCGCGAACGCGCTCCGCCGCTGGTTACAGATCGCTGACGCTTCCGGTTTTAGAAGCGGCGGCATCCGACGAGATCGCCTCGCCTTGTAGGACACGTAACGAAATTATTCCCGCCGCATTATACCGCCTTTCTTGTCTTTCTCCTTCTGCTCCCTCCCTCCCGACGTAACGAGGTAAGATGCGTGAGGCGAGAAACGCGGGACGACGTGCGGGATGGTTTTCAGGCTGGATCGAAACCTCTTCTTGATTTCTGCAGAAGCGCGACCGCAGGCGAGCCCGCCATGCCATTCCACCCATGAAACAACGGAAAGCGGCGGCGAATCGCGCCTCGCCTCGCTGAAGAAGATCTGAAGATAGTGAAGACATCACGCCTGTAAAAAAACGCACGATCCGATCCGCTAATATGAAACTGGAGAAACACTCCGCGCTGCTGTTAAAAAGAAAAATTCTGCCGCAAACAGGCGTGATTATCGCAAGGTGAAAACTAAGCCTCGAAAAATAAAGTTTATAGAAAAGATAAAGGAAAAGGATAGATGCGGAAAAAAATATCTGTCAAACTTCGTGACATACATATGCTTCCGTTTCTTTTT